CACACACACACACACACAGACAGCTAAGCAGCCACGAAATCCATAAGTTTCCAAGACGAAAACAGAAGCAAGAGTCCTTGTATTCTGTATTCCTGGCCAAACATGAAGTTCATACCCTGTATCATATGCATATTTTCGTGAAACGGGCCGTTTCTTCATGATGCAAAATTTAGCAGAAATTCAGAGATGCATTGACGGAAGCGCGGTGTGTCTTTGTTGAACAACCTTTTCTAGCGCATTGACTCTAGCAGGGTCGTGGCTTGCCGAGGCAAGCCTCCACTCCTTCAAGCCGGATGATTCCTTCACGGCGAGCGGCTCATGCAGCTGAGCCGCTCTTGTGCTTCACCCGGATCAGCTCAACAACACGTCTGTTGGGCTTCAAGTCTCACCTCATTACAGATCTGGCATGTCGCAGGAATGGAATGGACAAGCATTGATGCCTGTGGGGTTGCTCGCAAGCACGCGCTGCGCATCACTGCGCTGCACAGCCTTGCTGCATCGACAGCCTCGCTGCGGAGGCACGGCGATGAAAGTGCAGGCTGGCCGTGGGCCCCTTCGCCTCTGCTTGCGGCGCAGATGTGGATGTCCTTGTCCTGGTCCCATTTCTGTCGGAGTTGGACTTGCAACACCGTTCGCCGGCAGAAGCTCGGCTCCTTGCCTCCGTACTTGGCCTAGTCGTCGCTGGTGCTGTCGCTCTGTGTCTGATGGTTTCCTGGCTTTCGGAAGCAGGAAAAGCACTGCGGCGGTGATCCAGCTGGCGCCTGTCTGGCTTCTGTCCGCAAGCCGCTTGGTCCTAGAAACATGCCAGTACAGGCGGTCATTTCAATCTCTTTTGCCACTCAGGCCCGCGCTCTGGAGGATCACGGCGTGCCTGCCGGCAGCTTTGCTCCGCTGTGGGCTGTGGCAGAAGCCCGTGAAACAGCTCCTGAGCCTTCGGGCCTTCGGCACAGTCCTCTCCTCATCACTGCTGGAGAGTCTCGGCTGCAGCCCAAAGGCTCCCAAACCTCACAACCAGACCATGCCTTCCTCTACTCTCGCAAGGACCAAGGCGTGATCAACATTCTCCCGGACATTGCGAAGAGCCTGTCAGCCCGTGGGCCAGGAGACTGCGCTGTCGGGCAGTCAATGCATTTGACCTGGGCACATTTCATCCTGAGGACATGCGACGCGTGCAGCTGACGAATTTAGGATGCGTCCCCTCCATTTGAGCGTCATCATCATCGCTGTCGAGACCTCGAAGCACCAGCCATGCGCTTGAAGAGCCTTTGCATGCGCTTGCTTTCGGGCAGGATGCAGCATTGAGCCTCTGGCTGGATATCGCGGCTGTGCTGGCCGCTGGCCTGCGACGATTTACAGTTGGGACATGCTGCCCGGAGCTGAATGTTTGACACAACTGCCAGGGCCTGGCAGGCTTTGCAAGTGCTTTGGTGCTGGGCACATCTGAGCTGGTGATAGACTGGCGTTGACTTGCTTTGACAAGGCCTTTTCACCGTGGTGGACAAGTTCAAGATGAAAGGCTGTGGCAAGTCTCGTCGTCGTCACTGCTGTCTGCAGGTGCCTGCCACGGCGAGCAGCAGTCAGAGAAGCTCTTCACTGCATCAGCATTCCAGTCGTTTTGTTGCCAATGCCCCCCGCTGATGCGATGGCCTTCTACTCACCAATTTGCATACATCCACCCCTTGAATGTGCAAAACCGGGGCTGCAGCGGATTTCTGAGTGAGAGAGCAGCTCCTATCGCTGAGTCATAACTCTGGCCAATCAGTTCTGGAGTTCTGGTGAGATCCTCATCATACTCGTAACAAGAAAAATTCTGCTCCCGAATCCTTGGATTCAGCCGTGGAGCACATTGACATGACCGCCATTACATGTTGGCATGCGCCAACGGCAGAGAAGCTTGAGCGGCCGTGTGTGTGGGTGGGTACAGATGATGTTATACAGTTCAAAACGTTTGTGTGTGTATGCATAGACGGAGAAAGCCAACAAGTACTCAATGGAGCTTCTGCAGCGAGAATCTACACCCTACAAGCGGTGGGGAACTGTAGCTGTTTTGAGGTCACGCAGTGAGATGAGATGTGGGCGGAGGTGGGCACGGGCTTGTGCCAAATAGGAAACATTGAACATGCCCTGTCGGACAGCCTGCCCGCCTTGGTATCGGTCTTCGAATTTCTCGAAGGTGCCATTGAAAGCCTTTGAGAAAACAACGCGGAGTGTGGTGTTTAAGCGTGCTTGTATCTCGCTGCCTCAGTCCGCCCAGAGGCCTCTTGGCAGCGAGGTTTCCAGGACCTCCCCCTGCACAGAAGAGAACGGCTGAAGGATGCCGCATGATGCGGCAGGGTGCTGGATCCTGGCCTCTTTGCAGGGGAGCCAAAGAAGCCTCTGCAGCAGCTGCCATGGCTGCCCGAGCCTCATCGCAACCCAATCGCTTGGTGGCACAAGCTGCAAGCTGCACGGATCCCCGCTTTTTGCTGCGCCGGCCGCGACGGGCGAGAGGCCAGGGGAGCATGTGCATCTCCTGGCCAGCACAGGCAGGAAATGATGGCTTGTGCTTTCTGGGAGACACATCGCAGTTTGTTAGAAATCTGTTTTGTTCCCGGGCTGCCTGGCCGCCACTCGCCTTCCTTTGTTGAAGGCAGCCTGTGACGACTTCACCGCTTTACACCCGCAACTGCTTTGAGGCGGGGACCTCGTTTGCCACTTGGCCACGTCCTCCTCTTCTTCCTCCATGTCCAAGATCTCCACCTGCAGCTGGCACGTGCAAGCCGGAAGGACACCAAAACAGCACCCCAACAAGCAGCCTCGTCCCAGCCGTCGCTCGATGATTGTGGATCCTGGTGCGACAGGCACGAACCAAAAAAGGATCGGGAGAACGTTACTAGTAGGGCAATTCGCATCCAGCCTGTCGGGACTGCTTGGACTTCTCCACCTGCTTCATGATAGGCAAAATACCAAGCACTTGTGGTTGCACATTTCAGTTCCATCAAATCGTCCGCCTCGCCGCCGCTTGACATGCGTCCGAGATTTTGGTTCTGCACGAGAGCGCACGTCGCTGAACGATTCTTACCAGTTTGCCACGTGGTCGAGCCTGAGAGATGCTGCTGAACAGCGGTTCATCTTCAAGGACCTGCTGTACTCGCAATCCGCGCTTGAGACAGCTTTATACCCTGATGCAGCTCCATGAGCACGTGGCCTCCCTCAGCCTGCCGCCCACATCCTCCGCATCATCTTCCCATATGGTCGATAGAGGTCATGGGGTGGTACGTAGAATCAAGCACTGTTGTCATCAGCTCGTGTCCTCATTTGCATCGCTCATGAGTCGCTGCAGCCGCTGTCTTCCGGGCTTTCCTGGGAGAGCTGGCCTCCGTGTGTGCCACAAGACTTCCCACACAGCGTGACATAACGAGAGGCCCGGCCTGGTCTGTGGTATGTTAGCCATGGACTGGCCCTGGCTCTCACCTGATGATTCCTGTGCTTGATATGGTGTCGCAGCCTGATCAACTAAGACCCGCGCCGCTGACCAGGGGGTCAGCACAAAGCAAAGCCTCATGACATAGGTGAGGCACGACGCAAACATGCCAAATCAAGCACGGTCAGAGTCTGACCTGTTCCCCTGTTCCTACAAGGTCATCCCGCTCCCTGCCTGTGTCAGCTCCGGTGCTGGTCCATCTGGCGAATCAGAGCAGCCTGTCGCTTCTCTGAGACTTCGGTAAAAGGGGGCCGGTGAACCTTGCCTTCGAAGGACACGATGAGCTTCTCGCAGGCATCGAGGGATGGAATCTGCCCACAGGACAGCAGACGGGAGGCCGTGCCGATGGTTTGCGCACCTGCCAGTTGGCAGACTCCGCCTTGCCCGTGAAGTCGTAGATTGCGTTCCAAAAATTCTTTGCGGGGTCGAACTTTGCCTGAGGCAGTGGAAGGTGTGTGCCACGTATGCAGAAATCCCAATCTGAGTACCACGCTTCCCTGAATTGTTGGGACCTTGAGAACTTTTTACCGAACATTGAGATTTTGCAGTTGACACCTGACCAACTTCGCAAGCTCCTGCAGAGGTTCCTGGAGATTGGCCCCGGACAGTCCCGGATACTCGGCACAGAAGGGTGCCACGCGCAAGTCCTGTCACATCTTCTTGCAGGGCAGTGCGACACGTTGTGAAGTCTGATATGTCGTTCGGACGATTCTTCCTCTATTCATGATTCATGTAGGTCAACCGCGCGAGTACACGCCATAGCTGCTCACCATATACTTCCATCACAACCAGGGCCAGCCTTGGAAGACTCAATGATCGGCTCCGTGTGGCAGTGCCTAGTAAGGCACAGGTCAGCTGGCCTGGTTGCTCGGTATTGGAGGCTGCCTTCGTGCCAAGAGCGTGGCAAGTAGAACGTGCAATTTATGCACTCTCTGACGCGAAACTGCTTCGTAGCAACCTGAGTATACGTCAGATGCGGGTTGCTCCGGGTAGGCCTTTCGTGATGCGCTTTCGGATTTAGGTTGCGGAGTCCAGGTACGGCACCCAAAAAGTGCAGTTTTCACAGTTCCTCACGAAGGTGGAGTTCTCGCAGGGCCTCGGTTCATGAATGGCAGGCTTCAATAGTGGCATCTTATGCATCGAACAGAGCCAGGGACCCGATGACAAGACGACAATCCACCAGGCCCTTGGTGGATCAGCGGCATGCTTAACTCCCCAAGCAATTCCTTTAGATTTAGCATCGCAGGGCGAAGTCTCCTTCTGACAGCTCCCAAGTCCAATCAAGTCGTGAGCGGCAGGTTGTACATTGCACGTAAAGCACTTTCCGCTTGTCTTGTAGCATCGACTAGAACAGCTGTCTGCAGCCACTCCGCTTTTTAGACAGCCGAGCGATATTTTGTAGCAGCGGCTGAACCAAGCAGAAGCTACTCTCGCCGTGGACTGAGGCCTGCTATGCTGCAGCACACGTGCATATTTCCGCTATTCTAGGTCTCGCCCGGCATCCCAATGATTAGGCTCAAGTTTCTGTACGGTCTGAGGAGTAAAGCTCCCTATCGCACTCTTGCAACCCTGCTGCGTCTGGCAGCTGGATGGTTCAGAATGATACATGTGGTGTATCGTCAAGGTCTGCTTGTGGGTGGATAGTTTGCGTTCCAACGTGCATTCTTGGCACAGCTTTTGCAATGACGTACGAGCACGCCAAGGGTGGACGGGACAACTTCAAGATCCGTGAAATCAAGGGCTGCAAAATGGATTAGCTACTGCAGATTGATCAGCCGATGTAATCCGTGAAGCGTCTTGCTTGCCGTGTGGCAACAAACCGCAAGTCCATGCTCGCTGCACTTTCCTACGAGTCCTTCCCAAATCCGCTTTAGTCACTAAGTCCCTGTCCCTGAACAGCGCGAAAACGGTACAGCCAAGGCTCATCAGCATGAAACTCAGAGGACTTCTCGCACACCAAGCAGGTGCAACCACTACAGTCCTGGCATCTTCACTTCGGTCTGCCTTCAGCATCCTTCAGCTGCTCAACCATGACAAGCCAAAGCCAGGAAAGTAGCATCAAAAGACTCGCCGGCTAGCTCTTGGTTCCCTTACAAAGCCCATTTGTGAACCCCCTGTGTTTCGGATAGGAGAGGACGAGATGCTCTTTCTCTGCACGCCTAGTGCAGGTGTCCTCCACGTGGAAATCGACGCAGTCGAGACCACCAAATGCACCAGGCTTCCGCACGATTGTTTTGTTGAACCTGCGACGACATATGGTGACTTTGAACTGAACGACCATGCTGCTCGCACCTGTCATGGATGGCGTAGGGCTGGAGCTCCTTGAGACCACGCTTGAAAGCCTTCCGATGTCAAAAGAGCAGCGCTGAGCACGTGATCGTCGCCGCCGTGGCATGCTTTCTTGTTGAAGCCTGAACTAAGTTCGGGGCTGGCAGGTCTACGCGGCCATCCTGCTGATGGGCCTGGGTGTCTGGTCTGGAACTCTCGGCACCCAAAGATGTATTCCCTGCCCACTTGTAAGGTCGGGGACGTGCAGAAATGCCATGACTTCAGCCTGCACTGCCACATGCCTTCTTATCTTGACATGTAGCACCCGAAGTGAACCCGCCTCACCATATCTGAGATAGTCCCGCAAGTATGACCTCAAGCCGTGTCATGTAACAGCTTGGCATGTTTATGTGGCTGGCCATCGGACATCAAGTCCTTCTCGCCCAAAAACCCATCACCATCAGCATCCATCTGTCAGGCGTCCGTCGTATGCTTCCGTTCCCGAGACTGGGTACATGCGCGAATGCCTCTTCGAAAAGCTTGCCGATGTCTTTGGGACCTCAGCCGGCTGACCTTGACCTCTGCACACTTCATGCACCTCCCGCCAGGACACGGTGCAGTGGGGACATTCCGCTCAACTTGGAAGACCTTAGCGTGAGTCAGCTCGTCGTGTCGAGGGCTCGAACAGCTTCTACCTGCTTCTACTGTAACAGCATGTCGGATGATCGAACCAGGATTGAGGGAAGGACGATGTGCTGTCTGACTTGCTTCTGGCTGTCGCTGCCTGCTCTTGACCAACCGTCAACAACAAACACCGACACATGCAGCGAGCGTCCCTGTGCGCACACTTTTTTTGCTCATTTCGCTGAGACCGCTGTCCGAAGCCATCCCTCAATTGCTTGATTCACTTGCACAGCTGCCTCTTCCTGCAAGGTCATGCTGTACGGCGTGGTGCTGCAGAGCTCTGGCTTATGCATCAACAGCAGTGAACTTGAAACTCGGAGAGCCTGCAAATAATGCCCCGCATCCACAGGCACTACGAGACAATCTGTGCGAGATCTCATGTATTCTTCCCATTCGGCTGTGTGAAACCTCGGCATTGCAGAAGCAGCTACCAACTGTCAGATGTTTAAGTCCACTGACACGAGGTACCTGATTTCAGCTTAGAGTCAGGAAGGGCTTGTTCCTTCCGAACTTCTGGCCATACCTAGAAGTACAGCAGCTGCAAACACTTCATATGGAGTCTCTTCAGAGTGCTCTGTCAGGCAAGGTGCATAAACAAACACGGGCAGCTCGGAAGAGCTTTGCCTCTCGGCACACGATCTCTCTCGCGAGCTGCTGTTCTGTTCCCTCAAAGGGCCCTTTCTGACCGGGCCTTCGAGGACTGAGGGCTTCGAAGGAGCCCAAGAGGCAAAGCTGGTGAAGAAGTAGAAATATGGATAACATGCCTTGCCATTGTCCCATAAACCGGGAGACATTTGTTTAGCAAAACACGCAGGCAGACTTTGGTAACGGCACGTGCGCCGACTTTCCATCCTCCTGTAAGTCTTCTACTGGGGTGATTCAGCGGGATGGAGACTGTCTGGCTGCAAATACTTTGACCAAGGGGCTTTCCCGGTGACGTGCATATGGTCCCGGCCAATGTACCGTGCCAGCACACGTGCCATGCGGTCCCCAAGATTTTGCCCCGCATCAGCAAAGGGTGTTCTTGCCGTCATCCGACACACGAGATAGGCGGCCACCAACCAGGCCTGGTACTTCACGAAGTAATACACAGCGTCCTTCCAGCCAAAGAACGAAGGATGCCCAACATCCAAAGCAATGATGGATGTCACCAGACCTGAAGCCGTTCAGTAGTCCGCTGTCCGATGCTCAAGGAGTGCAAGAAGATGCACTTTGTCCGAGATGCCGGGATGCCGCTGTTGCAGCATAAATCCCCAAGGACCTTAAATCTCGAGTTCTGAGTGATGAAGGAAGGGGCAGTGCTTGCCAAGCTGCAGCCCCAATCGTGCAGCACAAGAATGACTCTGTGCTTGCACTCGTGGCCTTCGCAAGGTTTCATAGCATGCGGCTCCCCTTACTTTGATTCCTTTTGCTGCGCAGGTACGGATGGTCTGAGCTAGCATGTCCGCCACCTCCTCGAAATCGTAGCCCTCGCAGTTGTGGAGATGCTGAGTTGGCAAGGGCCCAGTGCAGCACCATCGTGACTGCAGTGACGGTGAAAGTTCGCAACCCCTCTGGCTTTCCCAGACTAGTTGACCTTCGAGGAATAGCTCTGCTGCGCGTCAGAAGGCTGTCCAAAGAATGGCAAGGTCACGCACTTGCCTTGGGCTCTAAGTGATCTGGTGATATCTGGTGATCGTGTGACCGAGTCCAGGGAAACGAGGCAGGCCCGGCATGTCTTGTTGGCCAGGTTACACGAATATCGACTCTTGAAGTGCTCCACCTGCGCCTGCCAGACAGCTGCATCGTCAGGCCAGCCATGCCTCAATTGCCGTGATTTCCTGTGCAGCGGCGTTCCGCCACGACTTAGTTGCTTGGTGCTTGCGAAGATGCACGAAGAAGAGTGTCTCTGGCCCGGAACCTTCAGATCTCACTGGCAGGGAAGCCTCTTCAGACAGATTGTTTGCAGATGGTTGGGTCTGAAGATTGCCTTCATCCATGGCATAGTGTCAGCTTATGTCAGCTTGCAGCTGCAGCCTCTTCAGGCAGTAGCCTTTGCCTTGCTGTTGCCGTCATGCTGCAGAAGTCTTTGGCGCGCCAGGGCACACTGTGCAGGCAGGCCTCCCCGGACGCTTGACTACATCGTGAATGCGGTCAGGGCAATGTAGTTCTGTGAATCACCGCGCTCATTCACATGAGCTCAGTCTTGCCCCACCAGAGAGATCAGGCCTGCCGCGACAAGATCTGGCCACAAAGCAGCACCCGTGATGACACCAAAGGATGTCGCCATTGCCGGCCGGATGCCACCATCCGAGCTTCTGAAAGGCTTGATCCCATCTCCGGTGGCAGGTGTGCATGAGAGCTGACACTGCCGCCGTGGTGCACACGTGCCTCAAACAAAACATCAACAACCATCTTTTTGCTGCTCGCACGAAGTTCGTGGCGAACGCGATGCACTAACAGAAGCAACTGGCACATTCGGGCATGGGCGCTGCTAGATGAGATGTGAAGGATGCCTACCTGCACCACGGACCTCCTTATTGCCGCAGAAACTGTATTCTGTTATATTCTGCTACTCAAACGCAGGATACGAGCACACAACTACAGAAAGTGTTGGTCACGACGACTCTCACATTGCCGCCCTCTTCGGAGAAATTTCCTGGGAAAGCAGCATCTTGGACATGGTTTAGCAATACCGTAGCGTCGAATTCGTGTGGAAAGTCTGGACCGGGTGTGTTCTTTTCTTCATCCTTCTGTGTGGTTACGAGTGTGGAGCTGAGCGGCTGATCTGTGAACGTTGCTGTGAAGAGTTCGGGGTCGGACATTTAAGGATTCGCGAATCTACCTCTGAGCTTTGAAAGCTTGCGGCTGATGCTGGTAGGGTCCATGTGCCAAGTTTGGAGAGGTTTGGGCAGACTGCAGGGCTGTCTTGTGAGAAGCAGGCCCTGTGTATCTGTCTTGAGACCTAGCTAGAGGTCTTGCGGTTTCGGCCTTGCTGGGTCTTGGATCATTGCAGGGCTCAGGTGATCCGTGAGGCTGAGAGGTCTCTGTGAACATGCAGAAACGAATGCAAGCACATGCTGTGGCATGCATCAATTTGTCAATTGATCGACCAGCAAGGACAAGCCCCACAGCCACGCGGACCTTCCACCCCAAAAGCCCGACCCTCCGAAGTCTGCGACACAACTCCTCGGTCTGATCATGACTAAGCTGATCGGCCGGCTGTTCCACCAGGGCGGCAAGACCTGAGCCACCGCTGAGACTGGAGGGATCAGGGATGCCTTGGTGCGAAACGCTTCTTCTTTTTGCATGGCCTCCGTTGCCGCGCACATGCTGTTGATACGCCTTATCCACAGGAACTTCGTTTTCGGCTATATTCATCGCTGCACCCCTTCTCACATGTCCCGAACACTTCCAGGTCGGGGGAGGCTAGAGTGCGGCCGGCAAATCAGATTGCACCCACCAATGAGTCAATCACGATGAACATGCGCCTCTGCACAACTCGACTTATCAGATGTCGGCATAGTTTTGACTTAGTTGCAGAAAGTGTCAGAGCCTGCAGAGACTCACCCTGAGACCTGGCATTTATCAAACTAGTCGAAGTACTAAGGATGTGAGGGCCCCCATATCCCTTCACTAGGTCTGAATAAAAGTACGAGTGCGTCGAACACGAAAACCCACCGACAGGGTACTGTCACTTCAAAGTGCTGCAAACGGAAGCCCCGATGTCTGCCCGCATCATTTGCAAAGCCCCAAAATCCACAATTTTGGTGCCTTTGAGAAAGAGAGTTGACTGGAACCCGTGTCGTCAGCAAGTTCGGGCTGAGTTAAGGAGTTTCCGAACGGGCAAAAACGCACGCTCATCTCTCGTTGAAGCGACTACCAGGATCGCTTTTTGATCTGAGAGGCGGAGCTTCAGCCTCATCGCACTTGCATCCACTGAAGCACGATGTTTTCAGCCTGTATATCCCGTGCTCTTCGGCCTTTTCATCTCGTTTTGCAATTTGTTAACCGTCTTCCGTGCGATATCAAAGGGTTCTAAAAGGGTACCCTGAGGCTTATCATAAATACGGGTCTAGGGTGTAGGGTTTTTGGGTTAAGCTCGAAGGCACCCGCCTTTCTTGCAAGTGTTCACGCTTCGCGTGATCCTAAAATAACTTTGCCTGCATTACCCTCATAGGAACAGAGTTGAACACGGGGAAGCTTAGTCAACGCGTGTAGGCCTGGGATCCTTGCGAGAAGCGATGATGGGACAGCCATCTCATCCTCAGCAGAACCGAAGACGAAGCAAGAGAAAATTCAAACAAACAAAAACTACAATCATGACTTCCGTGAAAGGTAGTCGCAGGGGTTGGAGAGCAGCATGTAAGGCACTGGCAGGCCGCAGCGGGGCTTTCAACAGCTCAATCGGAGGATACTCCTGAGACGTCCGTCGATACGAGAAAGCACAGGTCAGGCTCAGAACTTCTGGCCTCTGCTTCTTCTGGTGCCTCTTCGACGACGGCGCCGTCGTCATTGACGATCACTGCAGGTTTCTTGCCTTTTCAGTTCAAAAACTGAAGTAAAGCCATGGTTGCCCCGGGCATAGGCAATAGGATGGTAACAGGCTTTCCCTTTGTCCGACCAGCCATGCATGGCTTCGGACGATTGATACTCTAGTATCTCTAGTCTCAACCCGGTGTAAGCTTCCACTGCAAATGAGCAAACGAGTGACAATTCTCTTCGAACTTGAAACCTCCCAGGATCGTACCTGTCAAGGCCGCGACAGTGAGTGTGAAAACAACATCTCATCCATTCAGTCTGCTACTCGGCCTTCTTTCTTGAAGCCTTGGCCATAGCTTGTAGCTACAGTCAACTTGAACGATAACTGACAGGGACTGCTGCGCGAGGGCTTCTGTTGGCATGTGTGAATGGCTGGGTCCCTGGCACGCGAGCGGTATGCATGCCCAATTCTCGTATCGGCCAGATTCGTCTGAAGCAGCTCAGCGAAATTACCGTTGCAAGCCGAAGGCTACGCCGTTCACGAGACAAGGCCACCACCATTGATCTGCATGCGGTTCACCTCAAAGAGCCATGGGAAACTTCCAGCTGCTGCTTCAATGAGTGTCATGCTGAGGAGTACCAGCGTGAGCTGATTTCATAAGCCATCGACGCATTTCCAATGAAAGCCATTCCTGAACAAAAACAGCTCGCAACCAAAACACCTGCTGTTTCCATCTCGCTCATACGGAGAAGCACGAACTGAAATCGGACTGCGTCCTTGGGCGAGACTTGCGCTTTTTTTGCCAGTGTGACTTTGCGCATCATGCATGTCTTTGCCCTAAGAATGCTGCCCCATGTTTGAAAGGGGTCTCGGCTGGACTTGGGCTGGGTTAGGCTTTCTGTCTCGAATGCTTCTGTGAAGACTTGGTGTAGTAAAGCTGCCTTGCGCGGAAAGATTTGTCATAATACTAAGCATCAGCCATGCAATTTTGATAAACCGCGATCGCACAATGGACACGCCAATTCGTATACTGACTATATTATGCTGGAAAGATGGCATCTGCGCACTGAAACAACAAATCGCATCCTGCCTGGCTGCATCATCAGGTAAGAAGGGTTTGCGGCCGTTTTGGGTCCAGGATTGTGCTTTTCAAGGCCTTTTGCCACTGCATCTGTAGAGAGCTCCAGAGGGCAGGCTAGTTGTGGGCACCGTCACGCTCCTCGAAAACAAAACCGTGATCCTTGTAATCAGACGGTCGCCCACTTCACCCATTCCATCACAGTTGCTCCGTCTCACACCCGGTTTTTTTGAGGCTGTGGGGTTTCCGGGATATAGACTAGAGTTGCTTGCCGGTTCGATTCGGCTGCGCTTGTGCCTGCGAATCCCCGGTGCCTGCATCCGAGGCTTTCAGTGCCCGAATCCTCCGCACCAGTGAGCGAATCTCGGCCCCAAACCCAACGCATCATTTAACTACAGCCTACACCATAAAGCTGCAACCCTCAAACCCTCACCTCCACCTTGGAACCCCAAATTCTGAATTCTGTGAGCCCGAAACTACAGCCCTAAACCAGAATTACAAAAACGCCACAACCCATCCAATCAAAATCTTTCAATGCTTTTATACGCCCTGATCAAAGCTCTGTGAGCCGTACAAAACCCTACAAAGCCTTGCTAGTATTGGAAGCCGTGGGCCCTAAACCCTAAACCTACTGAACGAAGCCACATCAGACCCCCATAGAAGCCCTGAGCCTGAAAACCCTGCCCGACCCAGTTGACACGGAAGGAGATAGTATGCATTAAAAGTCAAAGCCCTAAAAAGGCATATTATGAGCAATAGAAACCTGAAGAGGAGTTAGGAGGAGGGGATGGTGATGGTGGTGCATGGGTTGGTGGTTCAGTTGCACAGTGGTGCTTCAATCGCCGGCGCTCGAATCGGCTGCTTGATTGAAGAGCGCGCTGAAATCAGGTTTGGTGCTCCAATTGCCGCCGCTGCCGCCGCTCGGATCCGGTGGCCACTCTGCTGGTGCTCGAATCGTGGCCAGTGCTCCAATCCGTGGTTTTGCGAAGACATTTTGGATCTTTTTGTGGAACTCTGCTGATGCTAGCTCTCCTGCATGGACGGCCACTGTATCTGGGCCGTTGCGTTGCTCCGTACACCGCCGCTTATCTGGGATGCCGACCTGTCGACAGCGAAAGCATAGTCGCCTCCTTTGCCTGCAATTCAACCAGTTCTCCAGTAATCTGGCGCACGAATTACAAATTATGCAGCTGGGCCAATGTCAAAACAAGAGAAAGCGAGACTGTCTATCCTGCCTCTGTGTTTGTGTGTGCGTGCGTGCGTGCGTGCGTGCGTGCGTGCGTGCGTGCGTGCGTGCGTGCGCGCGCGTG